ATTTTGATTAATTAATTAAATATAAAAATTAATAATAAAAAATTAATAATCTAATTATTTATTAATGAAAATAATATTAATAAATTAATTATTCTAATCAATAATTAAAGTCTCAAATTAATTTTAAAATGACTTGGCATTGCCCCATCATCTTGGATAGCGTCACATCATTAAAAAATGTCTCAAATTAGAGAGGAGACTAAAATCAAACTCAAAGTTTAAAAAAGGGACCAAAATGATGGTTTTTAAAATGGAGGGATCAAAATCCAGAAAAATGCAAAATAGGGGGATCATAGTTGCAATTAAGCCTAAATTAAATAACAGAACTTGTTTCTATAAGAAAATAAAATGTTAAATAATAATAAAATAAATAAATAAGTAAAAAATAAATAAATAAAAACTAAAGGGGGACATAGAACAAAGTAGGGTGTGAGTAAGAAATATGGAATCATATGGGCCAAGCCCATCATCCATTTGCAACAAAAACAAACAGAAAAAGAAGCACGTTAGAAACAAAATGGTGTGAAAAATAGAAAGGGTGAGTGTGCAGTAAAAAGAAGCCAGTGTCTAGATGAATCAATGGGTAGAGTCATTTGGGCTTTGCAGCCTATCATCCACGCCAAAAAAATCACGGATGAAACAACAACAAAAAGGGTGGAGTGCGTAGGTTCTAACAACAACCACGACACATCTTATCTGGAAAAGAACAAGTTCACAATTTTAAATCATTTTTAACCAAAACGAAAATTCCATGGAACATCCGAATATGATTTCACTATCAATACACAGTGAAAAAAGGGAAAGATGCAACAACAACTTAAAAAGGAAAAAGAACACGCCTTCAACCTGTCTGAATCGCCTCCATCACGCTTCTCACTCACGATTCAAGCTTGTGCGATTTCGTTTCGCTTAAAAATCTCTCTTACTCCATCTTTATTTTCTGGTTTTGGTTCTACTCATTCTCAGATTATTCAGGGTTGGTTCAAATCGTAGTGTTTCCATTCATTTCAATCAAACTCTTTCTTCTCTTTCTGATTTTTTATTTATTTATGGATTTAATTGGGAGATTTGTCTTGAAAATGGGTTTGTGTTTGTGGTTATGATTTGAGGAAGAATGAAGGGATGATTTATGAAAGAAAGATGAAGTGGATTTTGTGGAAGCCTCTGCAGAGCTTCGTGGTTTATGGAGTTCTTCCTTCTTTTTTTCAAATGAAGGAGATTTGTGTCTGATTTATAGGAGTGTTGGTTAGGTTTGCTTTTAAGGATGAGTGAAAAGAATTACTGCCATTTTGATTTATTTTCACACGTAGGGTGTGCGTACGGTACAGGTTGTACGTGGCGTGCTATGCAATCAGAGAGTTATTTTTGTTGTATGCGTGTGAACATTGTGATCACAATGAATTGAAGGTCGATGATGTGTTTTGAAAAGCTTGTTGTGTCACGCTTCAAGTAGGTAATTGCAGCAAGTATTATGGTCATGCAGGATGTTGACATGCTATTGCAATGTTTGTCACATAATAGCTTAGGGTTGCGTCATGTATTGGGTTGGGACTGTTTCATGGCTCGCTAAATTAAACTGGTGGCTTGATTGTTATTTGTGTATGACGGTGTAAATCATGTTTTCAGAGTCAAGTTTTCTTTTCATTTTGGAAATTATGGTAATTATTTTTTTTAAACAAAGAATTTGGATAATGTTGATTTTTGGTTGTGAAATGGGTCTTGGTTCGACGATGGGCTCTATTTTTTTTGGCTTTTCTCATGGTTTATGATGAAATGGTAATTATTTTTTTGGAAAGTGAATTTTAAGATGGCTTTGGACAATTAATTAGAGAAAAAGATTTATTAAAAAAAATTCCTATTGTTTGTGAAATGGATATTTGAAAAAAAAAGGCGCAGTTAATTCGGACAATGAGAATTGGTTGAATATTGGATATGATGTATGGGTTTAGATATTTGAGTTTGAAAATAGTTCATAAGTGAAATTAAGGAAGAGATGTTGAAATGGAAGTAATAATGAAAAATGGATTCATGAAAAATGTATAATGAGCAAAACAAAAAATAAATGATTGAATATATAAGTATGAATTGAATTGAATAACAATGTGAAAGGATTAGAAAATGGTGTCTGGAAATGGTAACTGACGAATGGATATGGAACTGCCCTTGAGACACCATGAATCAACCTCAGCCTTAGAAATTTTGAATCATAAATCAACCCTGATGAATTTCACTGTGAAAACCCTAATTGAAAAATGAATTAGTCACTGGTGATCCTTAATCGTTAAAGCACTTGACCTTTCACGACCTGATAACCTGACCCATACATAGATGACTTGAATAAAATATTAATTAAGGTTTTAGACACAACCACCATATAAATCTTGAACCCTGACCTTAATTCTTGAAATAAACCAATGTATGACTGACAAATTACGTCAAAACCATTGAAACTCAATCCATACTACACATTCACCTTATCTAACAACCTCAAACGAACCTTAATTCATCCTTGCAACAAGGAATATGAAAGCAACAACATATATATTTTTTGGATTTTTTGAATAACTGTTAGTGGATGGATGTACAGATGAAGGTTATATACAAGATATGACAATTTTGGGGTATGGCAACAGGATAAAAGCAATAGCACACGGGAAATCCTCAATATACTCAGGCACACTCGCCCAACTAGAGACGCGCGAGAAGTGCTGGAGGATCCAAGCCCGAAATGAAAAAGTTTGGAACACACGAATCATCGGTAATAGCCTTGCAAATATGAAATGAAAAAAAATTCAAAGACCAATAATCATTACAGTCAGTAGTGTCACGATGCCTGTGACCTGCTTCGTCTTACACATACAACAATCTCTCAATTTCAAATGCAGTTAGACCAAGCAAGTCGCCCCCTAGTTGTACTCATGGATCCGCTCGAGATCCATGAAGTACCGTAGGTAGATGACACATGTATAAGTGGCACTCTTGTCCACAAAAATCGTAGTACCGACCAAATAAAACAGGTATGCTCTCAATGCATACAATTTGTGGAGCGCCACTTGCTCATCATCCCCATTATCCTCTTGTGCTCTAATGGTCTCATCATCACATATCATCTCTAGGAATTCAAATCTAGCATGAAAACCCTGGTTTTATCCACCTTCTTCTTCGCCTCCCCTAGATCAACCCCAAGATACTCTACCATCATCTTGAGTGCCTCGTCTTTAGTAATCCTCCCATGATCTAGGAATCTCCCCCTGATCAGAAGATGTAGCAAACATGAGACATCGTTGAATGTGATAGACATCTTACCATACAGGAAATGAAACGACGAGGTCTCTGAGTGCCATTTTTTCATGAACGCATTAGCATCCCGTGGTTGACCGTAGTGTAACTGATCATGCATAAGTCCTTCAGGAAAAATAAAGACAAAACCAACTAAAACCAATCCTCCTCTTGCTAAGGCAACACAACAATCTTCCTCCCATGGTTAACAAACTTATAAGGATCACGCTCCTGAAAAATTTTCAGGAGTAATCGATGTTAGAAATACTCAATATCAAAATTTAAAATTAACGTAAAAATAAATAAAGAATACAACTAATGCTACCTTTCCGTCCCATATATGTTTGGTAGTATGGTTTGGATAGAGAGGCAGTAAAAACAAATCAACTAGGCTTCCTCCAAAAACCTCTAGCTCATCATCCACAACAACCTCACCCTCCGGAGGTGACATTGAATCAACAACATCACCAGTAGGAGGTGGGACGATAGATGAGACTAGATTAACAACATCATCCATATGAAATGATACTGGTGAAACGTGTCGCCTACAAGAGGACGAGGGAAGTGATGCATCAGATGGTGATACCTGTCTTCTATGAGAAGAAGATGAAGTGGCCTGAGGAAAAACATGAGCCCCCAAAGTAGACGGTTCTGCCTGACCAGAGGGATCTAGAGCCTCCAGAATCTACTAGCTCTTCTCCTATCGAACAGATGTGTGCTGAACAACCTTGTCATGTCTCAGTCTGTCGTGTCTATCTACCATTATGCTGATAAGTTAAAGTAAGGCAGACCATTAGTGCAAGCAAATGACACACAAGCAAGAGAATTTAAAAAAAATACTGTAGGAAATTTCAGAGTTGCATTTCCGAATTTGGGGGAAATTAAAACGTTGAAAAATTCCATAGATGCACTCCGGAGTTTTTTTGCAGAAAACTATACGTTGAACAATTCCGGAGACGCATCTCCATAATTTTCTACAACTCAGAAGTTGCGTCAATCACGTAAGTACCACATGCAAGCTTATGAAAATTGTTTTAATCATCATTTTCAGCCAACAAACAACTAATACACTATGTCTAAACCATCTCAAATGTGATTACTACTCATTTCTAACCCAGATTATTGATTTCTACTCATTTACACCAAAACTCTAACATTTATTGAAAATTCGAAAAATTTACAAGAAATTGATATTTTTGATAAAGTTAAATAATGTTGTAGATGAAGATTGATGTTCCCTTGAGACTTGTTGAATGAAATTTGAATTGGTGTAGTTTGAGAGAAATTGAGTCGAGTTTAAGTACAAAGGAAAAATGAAGAAGGAGAAGAGTTTGACACGATTTAACTTTAACTTATATTTTAGTACGTTCGGAGATGTGTTTCCAAAAATAGATAGCATTTATGAAAATTTGCGTGGTACAGTAAAAACATATAGGGTGCGTTAATGGGCCCAATTGTCACTATGGGCCAGGCCCGTCTTTTTTGAAAACACTCAAAGCCCAAGGGATGGAATGCCATTGTACTTCCCAGGCACGTTGACCATTTTTTCTCTCTTAACAAACTGAATTTCATTTCCATTTTCTATCGATACACAACAAATGCATTTCTAAGTTCTCGCTCTTTACACTTTTCTCACTCACTCTCTTACTCACTCCTCATTTCTCCCTCTCCCTCTCCCTCTCCCTCTGCATGCAATTCCCGTTCGTCTCAATTCGCCGGAAATGACGAATAAGGGCAAAACAAACGCAAAGGGTAAAGCTCCCGCCGGGAAAGATTCCGACGGAAAACGCAAGCGCGGTTACGACGATGACAAAACAGGCGGCCTCAAGAGGAAGAATCGAGGAGTCGTTCAGTTCTTCGATGAAGAAGCAGCTGACATCGACGACAGCGAAGAGAGTGACTGCAGTGATTTAAGCGATGGTACGCGATCATACTTCCTTTTCTTTTTCTCTTTCGTTTTCTTCGTTTTTTACTGAGAAATGTTAGGGTTTCACTTACATTTTGTTGTTTCATTCAGTTGTTTGTTACGATTTATGGTTTGCGATTTTCATTTTTCATCAATTGAATTTCTATTTGTATCAATGTATTTTTGGCGTGTAGATTCTTATGAAGATGAATTTGAGACTTTGTCAACAAGGAATGTGTCAGATAAGGGTCAGAGTAGCTTCCTGTTTTCCCCTAAACAGGAGCTTGTGGATGAAATAGAATATGATAGACTGGCGGAAGAACGATTTGGTTCTAGGTCTTACACTTTTGCTGGTGATGATGAGTTTGAGGATAAACCAATGGATCAGAGTTCTTTACATCATGCTCTTAAGGAATCAGTTCCAACCATATGGAAAGTTAAATGCACTGTATGGCATCTGAAACTAGACTTTTAGGGATTATGTTAACCATAGTTTCAAGTTTTATGTTCATAATATTTTAGGGTGCTTCTTTGTTATTTCGTTGTTTAATAAGCTTTGTTTACTACAGGTTGGGCGCGAGAGGCTTTCGGCTATCTGTTTGATGCAGAAGTTTGTTCACCTGAAATCACTTGATACTAAATTGCAGATAATATCTGCCTTTGCTGTAGATCACATGAAAGGATATGTATATGTTGAAGCTGAAAGGCAATGTGATATAAATGAGGTAGATTCAGTACTGGTGGTTTTGATTGGTTTCTAGATAATTAGATATAGATTATCATTTGATAGTTAAATCTGTTTTTATGAGTTACAAATATCATTTCAGGCATGTAAAGGGATTACTGGTATCTATGCTACTCGGGTGCAAGCTGTTCCGAGAAATGAAGTTTTTCATTTGTTCTCTTTTAAAATTAAAAAACCCGAAATATCTGAGGGCATGTGGGCTCGTGTAAAAGCTGGTAATTACAAGGGGGACTTAGCGCAGGTATTGCATGAGTAATGATGTTGAGTTTTCGTTGCTATCCAACTCGTGAAATGCTTATTCCCTTTATCTATTATTTTGTATTGCCAGGTTGTAGCAGTGAATAATACGCGCAAAAAAGTTACCGTGAAACTGATTCCAAGAATAGACCTACAGGCTCTGGCTGCCAAATTTGTAATCTACCTTCACATGATTTTCTCTGCTTTTTCCTATCTATTTACTGAAGTTCAACTGTTAGCTTTGACTATTCCTGTTTCCCTTCAGGAAAATAAGATTAGAGACTAGTACAATCATTTGCATTTAGTATACCTGCATTTCGCATTTGGAAGGTTATGATGGATCATGTCAAAATCACATGTACTCAATAGTTTTGCAACTTGAATCTTTTTCCAACCCCTTGAATATTTATTTTTATTTGATTCTTTCAATCTGATGTGTTATGGAAACTATTGTAGCGATGCAAAGTAGATTGAGGAAAATGCTACAATTGGGGTTGAACTTGTAACTTGACTTGATGGAAAATTTATTCCTTGTTTTTTTTTTAAAAAAATATTTTAATTACATTGGTTCATAAAACCTGGGAGGGAACCTAACTATTATGCGATCTCTGTGAATTTGAGGCGGAATTGTATTACGGGTTATGTCCCGGAGTGATGGGAATTCCCATTTCCACATACTGCTCTTTTGACTTCATTGCTCTTATCCTATGATTGTGTACATATAGACAAGACAATTGTTGTTGAATATTTTCTCATTACTGTAGGGTGGAGGATGTCGCCAAAAAAACTCAGTACCAGCACCAAGATTAATCAGCTCCAGTGAACTTGAGTAATGTTACATATTCTCATACTTATTTTTTATTTTTTGGATTGTTTGTCTGATGGTTATTTTTCAATGGTTCTGCAGGGAGTTTCGACCTCTGATCCAAATTAGACGTGACCAGGACACAGGCAAGGTTTTTCAGGTTCTTGACGGCTTGCTCCTCAAAGATGGATATGTATATAAGAAAGTATCTCCTGATTCATTAAGTTTTTGGGGTGTTGTTCCCACTGAGGAGGAGCAATTAAAGTTCGGGTCTTCTGAAAACAATGAATCAAATGATATGGAGTGGCTTTCTAATATTTATGGTGACACAAAGAAAAAACGGGTAATAACAGCTGACAAGGGTGATGGCAAAGGAGAGGGTTCATCAGGTTCAGGAAAAGATTTTGAATTATTTGCTCTTGTGTGTTTTCGGTAAGTTTTGGTTAAACTTAGCATTCATGATATCATAAAACTCCCTCCCTCCCTCTCTCTATCTCTCTGTCCCTTTCTCACACACACACACACACACACACACATTCCGATGCAGTTGCGCACATGCTCATCTTGCAGATGGATGATTTTAATGTCTGACCGAGCTTTTCCATTGCAGCAAAAAGGACTTTGGTGTGATAATAAGCACGGACAAAGATGGTACTTACAAGGTAATATTCAGCTTATGCAGTGTCATTTGTATAGCCTTTGATTTTGAGTGTTTGGTGGTTTTTTATAGTTATATTATAGCTTTTCCTGTTTGTTGTAGATTCTAAGAGAAGGTTCAGAAGGACCTGCTGCTGTAACTGTTGAACGAAACGAAATAAAAAGTGCGCTCTGTGATCTTAAACTTAGTGCCCAAGACCTGCACAATAAGACTATAATTGTTAATGATAACGTCAAGGTTCTGGAGGGTCCATCCCAGGTCTGATGCTTGTTTCTGAATGGGTTTTTGTTGGTTGTAGTATTTTAGAATCTCTTCACACCTTTTGATATTTTCAAAGTTTTTATGTTATTTTGCAGGGTAAACAAGGTGTAGTTAGGCATATCTATCGAGGGATTGTTTTTGTGTATGATGGAAATGAGGAAGAAAATGGGGGTTACTTCACAGCTAAAGCTATTATGTGTGAGAAAGTCAAGCTTGCTGTTGGTGATTTCAGTGGAACTGGAAAGGTCTGACATCTTTTCTAGTACCCTGCTTGATTACAAACACTGAGAACTTGTGTTGAGTTTTGATTTTTTTACTCATTGATCTATACTCAGGATGGTGAACCAGGCCCTTTAGTCTTTGATGATCAACCATCATCACCAAGGTCACCACTGTCACCGAAAAAGCCATGGGAAACAAGACAAAGTGATCGCGAGTGTATGTAAAGATGCCCTTCTCCTAGACATGTCTTTTAGATGTGGACACAGTACACATGTTACTAATTTTCCTCGATGCAATAATTGTGCATGCAGTTAACCGTGGGGACAGTGACAGCTTGTTTGCTATTGGCCAGACCTTGAGAATTAGGATAGGTCCTTTGAAGGGATACCTCTGCCGTGTCACTGGCATACGTCGCTCCGATGTTACTGTGAAACTAGATTCTCAACAAAAGTTTCTTACAGGTATGCTTATGCTGGTCTTATTCTTGATTCTTCAAATATCAGATCACCATCATCTGTGACAATTCCCGTGAACTTTGTTACCATGCAGTTAAATCTGAGCACCTTTCTGTGGTTCAAGGGAAGAGTACCGCAGTGTCAACAAGGTATTTATGAAATTGACGTAAAATGTGATTGCCGCAACTAACTGTTACTGTTTGTTTTGTCTGTTTGTGAACATTGTCCTGAGTTCTTTATGTTTCTTATATCAGTGATGATCCAGATTCGAGTTCATTGAAGCCATTTGATTTGCTGGGTGGTGCCGAAGGCGGCTCTGGAGGTGGGAATCCTTTATTCTCAAATTTATTGGCATCTCCTTATCCTTCAACAAGAATAACATTTTCCGTATAAAACAGTCTTTAATTAACATGCATGACAGTTTCCTTTGCTGTGCTCTGTTTGCCATTGATTTTTTTTGTTGAGATTTACATCTTTTCAATTGGAAAGGTTGGATGAATAATAATGCGGGAACGTCTACCGGAGGCGGTGGATGGAATGCTGGAGAAACCTCCACTGGAGGAGGTGGATGGAATGCTGGAGAAGCCTCTACTGGAGGAGGTGGTTGGAATGCTGGACAAACCTCCACTGGAGGTGGTGGATGGAATGCTGGAGAAACATCAGCTGAAAGGTATACATACTTCCTTGTGATAGATAGTTAGTTACTCTGATTTCTTTTCATAGTGATAGCCAATAATTCTTGACGGCTTCAATCTTCAAAAGGAAGGTTCACATAATATTCGAAAATTGTTCAATAATCTTGAAACAATGTTGTATATGGTGAATGGTAGTTAATAGTGGATGGCCAAAACTCTGCGGTATAGAATTGGGATTGGCACCGCCATGGTGGGTGGCCATTTCACAGACTCCGCCTCACCGGTCCTCTATGGCTGCTATGTAACAACACTTCTTCTGATACAGAAGATAACAGTCTCTTCTAGAAGAGTCTAATTGATGTATGAAAGATTAGGGTGCATATTTGTACAATTGCGTTCTTGTTTAAAAATCTGTCATGATAATTGTTTTTGCTACGACAGTCTTATGTTCTTATTTTACTTTTTAGCTTGCATTTTATTGCTCTGTTTATTGTTCCCCTCTTGTCTCATGGTATTGTTTTTGCAGGAGTGCATGGTCTAATACTTCAGCTCCAAGTTCTGTGGTATGCTGTACTGTAGCCCAAAAATACTATGCACACTTTTATTCCCCCTTTGCCTCTTTTCTGTCTCCCTCTAGGGTTTTGATTGTTATTTCTCTGCATTTGTAAATATATTTTTGTTGTTGCTGCAGCCAGGGTCTACCTCGGATCCCCCCAACTCTCACGGTAATGCAGAAGATAACGGCTGGGGCACTAAAAATACTTCAACTCCAAAGCCATCATGGGGTGCTGCAGAGAACACGGGAGTCACATCGGAGCCTGATCAGTCTGGTGGCTGGGGAAAAGATGTAGGCAGTTCGGGTCAGGCAGAGCTTAACGGCAATCAGAATACTGCCTGGGGCACTAAAAGTACTTCAGCTCCAAAGCCCTCATGGGGTGCCACAGTGAACACTGGAACCACATCTGAGCCAGATCAATCTGGTGGATGGGGAAAAGGTGGAGGTAGCTCGGGTCAGGCAGACCTTAATGACAATCAGAATACTTCCTGGGGCATTAAAAGCACTTCAACTCCAAAGCCCTCATGGGGCGCTGCAGTGAACACTGGAACCACATCTGAACCAGATCAATCTGGTGGATGGGGAAATGGTGGAGGCAGCTCGGGTCAGGCAGAGCTTAATGACAATCAGAATACTTCCTGGGGCTCTAAAAGCACTTCAACTCCAAAGCCCTCATGGGGCGCTGCAGTGAACACTGGAACCACATCTGAGCCAGATCAATCTGGTGGATGGGGAAAAGGTGGAGGAAGCTCGGGTCAGGCAGAGCTTAATGACAATCAGAATACTTCCTGGGGCACTAAAAGTACTTCAACTCCGAAGTCCTCATGGGGTGCTGCAGTGAACACTGGAACCACATCTGAACCAGATCAATCTGGTGGATGGGGAAATGGTGGAGGCAGCTCGGGTCAGACAGAGCTTAATGACAATCAGAATACTTCCTGGGGCTCTAAAAGCACTTCAACTCCAAAGCCCTCATGGGGTGCTGCAGTGAACACTGGAACCACATCTGAGCCAGATCAATCTGGTGGATGGGGAAATGGTGGAGGCAGCTCGGGTCAGGCAGAGCTTAATGACAATCAGAATACTTCCTGGGGCAATAAAAGTACTTCAACTCCGAAGCCCTCATGGGGTGCTGCAGTGAACACTGGAACCACATCTGAGCCAGATCAATCTGGTGGATGGGGAAAAGGTGGAGGCAGCTCGGGTCAGGCAGAGCTTAATGACAATCAGAATACTTCCTGGGGCAATAAAAGTACTTCAACTCCGAAGCCCTCATGGGGTGCTGCAGTGAACACTGGAACCACATCTGAGCCAGATCAATCTGGTGGATGGGGCAAGAAAAGCGAATGGAGCTCGGGAAACAGTGGAAGCCAAGCTTCAGATGTGAACAAAAGTAAATGGAATTCTGGTAATTCTGATCCCCAATCTCAAAATTCAAATTGGGGAAAAAACAACTGGAATTCTAGTTCTGGTGGTGCAAGTGAAGGCACTAATTGGAGTAGCAATGAAGGTCAAAATGAAACTTCTGATGACGGAGGTGGGGGAAGGGGAGGTTATCGTGGTAGAGGTTCCTCTGATCGAGGTGGCTTTAGAGGTAGAGGGTTTCGGGGTAGAGGAGAACGTGGGGGCTTTGGTGGTAGAGGTAGATCAGATAATGAAGGTTTTGGTGGTAGAGACAGAGGATTTGGAGGAGGCAGAGGTCGTGGTTGGAACAATAGTCGCGATTCTGGTGAGGATGGATCCTCTGGCTGGAAGAATAATAGTGGGTCTGGGGCTTGGAACCAAAGTAGTGGTGAGAAGAAGCATGGAGGGAGCTGGAGCCATGAAAATGCAGATAAGGAGCGTTCAAGTAATGCTGGAGGTGGTAGTAATAAGCCGTGGCAGAGCTGGACTTCAGCAAGTGGTGGAGCTAGCGGTGGTTGGAACAGTGATGGGCCAGGACAGGGGACAGAAAATAAAGGCGGTGCTGGCTGGGCAAAGGGAACGGATTCCGGTGCTGGCTGGACTAAGGGAACGGATTCCGGTGCTGGCTGGGCTAAGGGAACGGATTCGGGTGCTGGCTGGGCAAAGGGAACGGATTCGGGTGCTGACTGGGCAAAGGGAACAGATTCTGGTGCTGGCTGGGCAAAGGGAACAGATTCTGGTGCTGGCTGGGCAAAGGGAACCGAATCTGCTCCAGATAACGGGCAACCGTCTAGTTGGAATGAATCTGCAGCAAATGGTAAGGAATTGTCCACTCTAGTGTACATCCGTTTTGATAAGCTTGAGATATTTTCAAATGAAAAAAAGATTATGGGAGTGTAAAGAATGATTATTTATTTATTTATTTAAAGTATCTAATTTTGTATATAACAAACTCACTTAAACTTGTGACCAATTTATTATGTAGGTGCTGCAGGTTCGTGGGGCAAGAAAAATGACGGTGGTAGCAAAGGTGGATGGTGATTACTTTCTAGAACATGCTAAATGAACCAAAGTAAATCAAGCTCAGTAGTTTCTTGCTGATTTCAACTATTTTTGTAAATCCACACAAATCTTTCTGCTGGAACTTGATGTCCATTATGGTAACTTTAAATTATCGTGAACAGATCTTATGAATGACTAACCCTTTGTGTTTGTATTGACTTGCGTTGTATTTTTTTTCTTCTGGTGAAATGTATATTTTTGCGCTTATTTATTTACAGTGATGCTTATAGCCTCTTATTTCACATCCGTAATGAAATTATATGATTTAGGAAATGGGTTTATGGTAATTCTCTAGTACATATTTTTAGTTGAGTTTTGCACAACGAGCTTGAACAAGCTATAGTTTTTAGCTGGCTAGATGGTATGATAGAAATATTATAGGATATGAATGAATCAATTTTTGCACATAAATTGTTGAAGTACATCTGCACTTTTGGGGAGCAAAAAGGCGAAATGGCCAAAAAAAAGAAACACAAATCCTATGGGAGAATCTTTTATGAGTGGTCTGTCTAACTTGTAAATAATTCCGGCTTTATCATAAAAGACTAGTTGCGGAAAATACTCCGGTTACTGAAAACCCCCAAAGAAAAGTGGGATTTGTGTTAATTGTGCAATAACTATGGAGTGAGATTGGAAGGGATGGAAAGGTCTCAACTGCATTTAGACTTTTATTTGGTTGGCAGCTCATAAGCATATCCTCGTCTAGAGCAGCGGGTTTGGAGTTGATATTGTCTTGTTCTAATTGGGTCTTTACTGCATTTATACTTGTATGTGGTCAGTGGCGAGTTGATATTTTGCTTTCTTGCCCTAGTTGGGTCTTCATTGCATTATACTTGTAGGTGATCGGTGGCACATAAGTGGATCCTTGCCAATTACTGAAGGAGCTGTTGGGAGTGGGTATTTTGCCTTCTTACCCTATTAGTTGGAAGAAGAATGTTACCCCTTATTGTATTTTTCATTCTTACCCTAGTTGTGGGAAAGAAGAATGTTAAGCCTTATTTTGTGCAGGCAACTCAGTCATGCTCTTCGTCATCCAATATGGCAATCTATTTTTTGAGTGTGTTGGTACATTTGGATGTAGAGAAATTAATCAATCTTTGAGGTTGACTTTCGAAGATCACTTGATCATGTACCTCGTATTCTGATCTTACTCAAAAGACATTGAAAAATACAATTATCATCACTTTCACCACAAACGGTGAAATTAGGAGTTAGACTACATTTGATGGATGAAACCTCCTGAAGGATGGATTAAGTGTTATGAAACCTCATGAAGGATGGATTAAGTTGAACACTGGTGTTTGCAAGAGAAACCTCGATGCATTGTGGTAGTTTTTCCCCCTAACTCGGACATGTGCTGAATCCAAGGATGCATAAAAAAAAAATTGGTTTGTGATGCCTTGGACGTAGAGATTTGGCCCTTGCCTTAAGACATGGAGAGTTTGTAGAGATTTGGGGCTTGTACTTTAACTTAGATATGGCTTGGAGTGATCGTATTTCACATCTCATTGTGAAGAGTGATTCTAAAACTCCTATTGACACGATTATGGATAACTACAATTTTGGAGGCACGGTTCCAACTTTGGTGAGGCATATATGCAACCTTTAGGATTAGGTTAGCTAGTCCGAACATATGTGCATTGACTTACAAACTGCTGGAGATTCTTTCTACTGAGTGTCATTATTTACTTTTCTTTTTTTATGATTTGTCTGGTGCTTGTGTCTTTTTAGGCACTTGGCTCTTGTTATGTTATCATGAGCTTTGTATCTCTTTGTATTAATTTTTTTTCTTCTTACAGCAACTTAAATGATTATTTTTAATGGAAGTAAACTAAATAGGTAAACTAAGACATTTTTTGTGGGTCCAAAATGTTTTGTAGGATTAAAAAAATTTATAGTTGATTTGAGTAGTTTTTACTTTAATGATGATCGTAAGAAACCAAAATTTGACCCCACATTTTATATTTTTTATTCAAGTTACCATTAATTTAATGCTGTTAGAATATTTTATTAATATTAAATAATATTATAATATATTTCACATGGAATACTTAAGGTTGACTATATAGATAATGGAAATTAAGCTTTAGTTCACTAAATGCCATGTCAGGTATACTATAATACAAATTCTTTATTACTAACGTAAGTGATCTGACCTGATCAGAAGGGGATCACGGGCTGGCCACACGCTGTTGGACTACTACCTGTTCACCGGTGATGAGGAGGAGAAGGGGGTGTACCTGCAAAACACTCCGATGCCAAAGTAAGGAGTTGGGCAGAGTGAGAGCAAAGTACAAAAAATGGGTAAGAAGTCGAATTACCTGACCCTCTTGAGGAAGAGGGTATTTATAGAGACCCCAGCGCTGGGCCAACGGTCACTTGTGTTAGGTTGGATGGCCAGACTCAACCCAAGTGACTGCTAGGACTTACGTGGCGTAGTGAAGACTAGGACGTGGTCTTCGCCCTAGTCCAACTGTCCCGTGGTCTCCGGAAAGTGGGTTTGACCTGCTCAGGCGGGCAGTTGGGGGGATGACGTGTCCCCGCGGAGGGGAGCACGTGGAGAACGTGCGCCTGACACGTTGTTCTCCCCGCGGAGCGGAGCTCGTGGGATTCCCTGACGGTGTGTGCCCCCCCCCCCCCCCCGAGGGGGGAGGACACATCGTCATGCCCGTTGGCAGGGGGGATTCTGCCCGTGGAGGCTGCTCTGTCCGGCTAGAGGGAGCGCCGAGGACGCTTAGGAGCGCGTCGTCCTGCTTGACAGAGAGCGTATTCCGCCCGTCCGGTGGGTGTGTGTGCCCGGTCAAGCTACTCCACTTATTGGGCCTTGTGCGTTATTGGGCTGGGCCGCGAGGCTGGGCCCAGGCCAGAACAATAAGTTATACAAAATTTTAGTTTAACAACCCTGCGTTAAAGTTGCTCTTAGGTATCACGTAAAATTGTCTCTAATTTTTAAAGATATATCTTTAGACGCATTTCAATACACATATTTAATTTGTTTTTGAGATATATTTGAATTTTATAAATAAAATTATTTTAAAAATACATCTCCGAAAAACTTCCGAAGCTAAATAACTAAGCAACCAAAGTATTTGGAATCCATATTATTCTACTCTTCAATTCTCAATCCATGTTTAATTAACCCCTGGACGGACTTTAATGGCCAGAAAATACATCAACATCATAACGTCATATGTAGTCAAAAGGAAACTAACAAACAGCAACTAAAAAGAATTATTTGCTAAGTATTCTATATCAATATTCTGTTTGCATTGAAAAGTGACATGATGAGATTTTCAACCTATTAAGATGATACAAATAGGTTTGGTGCTCACCGGATCGATAAATAGCAGAAAGCTTGAAGCTACAACATATGATATTTCAAAAATTATCAATGGCGCTTGTGAATAGTGTTGTATCATTTGTTTTTTTAGTTTTAGAAAATTTTCAAAAATATATTTTTGAAATAATTTTATCCATAAAATTCAGGTATATTTTAAAAACGAATGAAATGTGTGTTTTAAAGTGCGTTTGAAAATATATTTTTATAAATCAAAAATATTTTTAAAATTTTGCATCGAAAATATATCTCTCTAAATTAAGAATATTTTTAAAATTTTGTGTGATAGTTTATAAACATTTAGTGTGCTATACGAAATCTTAAAAAAATTACAAAAGACAAGAAATATAAGCTACAATTCTTATAAAATTGCCACAAGAGAGAAAACAATCTACAACTTTAATGAAATCATTATTGAAAAAAATCAAACTTTATCAAACAACCGTTAACTTGATTAACTTCTCAAAGCATATATGAAAAAAATAAAAACCAAACTTTATTAAACAATTGTTAATTCGATTAACTTCTCGAAGCACATATGGAAAAAAAAATCAAACTTTATCAAAATTGTTAATTTGATATACTTCTCGAAACTTTTGTGGTGCTCAAAGCTAATATGAAAAAATAAATAAATCAAACTTTCATTAATTTGATTAACTTCTCGAAGCACATATTACTTTGAAGAACTATCCTTCAAGGGAATCTCTTTTGTGGTGCTTAGCTGTACACTATCATATTAAAAGAAAAATGGATAGTTTTACATCTATCAAGCTTAAATTAATTTCGCTCGAAAATATTCAATTTTAAAATAAATTCTACACTTCTAACAAACTATAAGAATAAATGAAAAAAAAAATGCAATTAAATAAAAGGAAGACAAAACCCCTAAGCTGAGAAGAGAAAAACATTTACCTCACTTAAAAATTAATGATGGTTTGACTTCATGATATGTAAAGATATAAACTTTGTCGCATAAATTAGTTTGTGAATGATTTCGCAATCGCAATGTTGAGTGAAAGGAATATTAAATTCTTGGAGAATGTTGGTGATCCATTGAATTTTACAGATTGTGGATGCTATGGCGCGATACTCTACCTCTATAGAGCTACGAGAAATAGTAAGTTGTTTCTTTGACTTCCATGAAATCAAAGAACTGCCTAAGTAAATGCAATAGCCATTGATAGATTCTCTTGTATTTAAGCATGTATCCTAATCAAAAATATAAGAAATCTTTGAGTTCTAATAGAGAGGAGGAAGGAAAGAAGAGGCCTTGAGTTTGAGAATTATTTAAGTAGCGCAAGACTCTAATGGTAGCTGTGTGATGGAGAGTGGTGGGATTACTCATATGATGATTGAGTTACTGGAGTGCAAATCAATATATGGGTGCGCGTTTAAGAGATAAATGAGTTGGAAAACTAGTATTCTACAGTGAGTTAGATTTGATAGAGGCGTTCCTCCAGTGGATCGTAAACGTGTATAATTAGACATGGAAGTATTACCAGGCTTGCATCTTAGTAAGCCAATGTTGAAAAGAATGCCCACCAAATATTTTCTCCGACAAATGTTGATGCCTGGAGTTGTCCTTGCTACTTCCAGCCATAGGAAGTAATTTAGAGTTCCAAGATCCTTGATGTGGAAGTGATGTTGCAATATTGCTTTAATATGACTAATGATTTCTAAGTTGTTGCCTGCAATGAAAAAATCATCAACATATATGAGCAATGCAGTAAAAGAACTATAAGATTGATGAATAAATAAAGAATGGTCAGTAGAACATTGCTTGAAATTGTTGGATAATAACACAATGGTTAATTTGGCAAACCACTTCTGCTAGATTATTATAAACCATAAAGGGATTTCAAAAGTTTACACACTTGATTTAGATAAGAAGGTGCAATGCCTTTGGTTAAGGCCATATAGACCTCCTCATCCAAGTCACCATGAAGAAAAGCATTGTGAACATCAAGTTGGTGAAGGTAAAGATTTAAGGAAGAAGATAAGGCAAAAAGGAATCTTACAGTTGTGTTTCCCTTGAAAATTAGAAAACAACTGCCGATCTTCCAAATCTAACTTTGGTGACTCATAGGATCGATCAGATTGATCAGATTGATCCTAGGACATGTGCTAAATTTTATTCGAAAGAAAACTACTTAAAACTAAACACTTCGACAGTGTTTTCGAAGAAAAAAGTTAATGCAAGGGTAAGATTCGACTGAAAGGAAAAGACGTGAATTTGTAAAAAACAAAGTGAAAAGCCTTTACAATATTTAAACAAGGTAAAGCAGAACAAAAAAGGGAAATTGCAAGGAAGTAAAGATAAACTCTTTAAAATTAAGGAAAATAAACTAAGTTTCATTAAAAGTTAAAGATGGCGTGTTTACAAGACGTACATTCTCCTTAGAACTCGTTTCTCTACACTCGGGTACTTTGAGTAATTTTGGGAGTGACTTGTACAATAGTAAATTACAACACCCTTGAATTCTATGGCTAGAACCCTTATTTATAATAGTAAAATTAATTGTCATTAACCTCTTAAAATAACCAGCCCATGACAAGTGTCACGTCGCATGTAGCCTCTTGCTGGATGTACGCCACTTGTCTTGCTTAGTCATGAGAAAACATAACTACTCCCTCCTTTATTTGAATTTCAAAATTCCACTAATACTTGACCAGTAGCCTCGGTCGAAGGTGACATCTTTAACATTTGAAAATATTTTATAAGTCCCAAATACTTAAATCACCCAGCCTACTCGAAAACCTCTTCACTCGAAGGTTTCTCATACTTCTTCAAAAAGTTTAATATTTCATCCAAATATTTTAATTTTAATATAGGTGTCGAATTTGTGAGCTAACAAATTGCCCCCCAAAAATGTCTTTTTCGACCATGCTGGAGAAAAAGACTATTTTTTGACAACCTCTAATTCGACGCCATCTTTCGACCTTCACATAGGTGTCAAAATGCAACTGACTGCCCATGACTTTTGAAAGAAAAACTATTCAGCTATCTTCGCGCATGTCCATGACGTCATGGGCCATGATGAACAATTTCTTGGAAGCCTCACAAAATCCCAGACCATCATCACTTTTTTAGGACCTATGAAATCGTGGGTCTAGGCAATAACTTCCACCGCCTCCATTTGCAATCTTAGGACGCCGCGTGTCCCACTGTTCCTAGCCCTCAATGATGAATAGTGGCTTTTGGTTACTCCAAGACACCCTATAAATAATTTCACCAGACTCCAGCAATCACTTACGCATTTCTTCCAAAATACTCTCAATCTCTCTTCAGTAACCCATTCTTTTTTTACCAAAATCACATCAATTGCGTCTTTTACTGCTACCGCCAAAGATCAGAAGAAAAATCCTCAGACCAAGGGACTACAAGCTGCGTCACTACTTCCTCCTTTCACCACGCTGAGCGGGCCAAAAATGGTGAAGAACCAACAATTTATCCCTGAACCTCTTATAGAAGAAAAAATGCACATCTATGAATCGCAGATAATGATCCCTATCACTGTTGCAGGTAAGTCCTTAGCTTTGGCTGGCCCCCTGTCTCCCTTAGGGACCAACTACTCAACCCTTAGTGACTTTTTCCCTTCTTATCGCAAAACCAAACCCCTAGGGCAAAAGGATTATACCAAAGTACCTACTGAAGGTCCAGATAGCTTGACTTTACACAATGTGGACCTCAAGTACCTCAATGATGGATCCAGGTTATTTAGAGCTACCCCTTATTTCAAGGACTCTGATCTTTACCTGAACTGACTGACCAAAGTGGAAAAGATCAAAGTAGACGATTGGAAGAAAATCGACATTTATAATTTGATCACGATGTCGAAAGCATGCCCTACCTATTGCCCCATTATGCTGGCCTCTTCACTGTACTTCTGGGATAACGCCCATTACACTTTTCATCTTTCTTGTGGGATGATGACGCCCACTCTCTTCGACCTAGCAACTATCACAGGGCTAAAATCTCATGGGTTAGTGTACGATCTTGAAGTGGACTGTCAAGACAACATAGGGTTCTCTACCACCAAGCATACATACACCCATTTCATCAATCATTACCATGACAAGCAAACAGAAACCTTCGAAAATCAGGAACACATAACATTTCTAGCTATGTGGCTCTCTCGTTGTGTCTTCTGTACAAAGTCTCTGCAGGTGGCGAGGAAATACCTCACTTTAGACAACCAACTGCACTTGAATCGAGGTATCTGCCTGAGTGAGATGATTCTGACCAACTTATATGAGTCTTTGAACGAAGGTGCTAGTAGACTAAAAAACCAAGAAAGCAACGGGAACCTTCTGTTGTCGGGGCCCTTCTGGTTACTTCAGTTATGGCTCAACGCTACGTTCGAGACCAATCTTTTCAATAAAGGGGAAGTTAACGAAGAAGACCCTGGGATAACAGGGAGACGAGTCGAATGGACTCGATTGGTCAAGCTCACCCCAGTGAAGAAGGTCAAACACTTAGGGCGAATATCTCTGATTTTATTAAGATGTTCGTGGTATTTGTTGTTTGTCATTTTCTTCCTTGATGGAGCTACTCTGTAACGGTTAGACTTGACCGTTCAATACTCTCATGAGATCGGGGTCCGACCTGTTCATGTCGTCTACTAATACTCTGATGATCGAGGTCCGACTTGTTCCTTTTGTGTAACTCGACATGTATCATACTCAACATGATATCTCTTCATACTCAACCTAAATGACTTATAACTCGACTTCAGAAATTCTAAGATGTAAAAAATATATTTTAAAAATAATTTCAAATCAACAATTTTAAATTTAAAGAAATTAATATATACCAAATTTAAGCGCAACTTAGACATGATTTTATGGATAATGATTATATTTAATTCCATTAATTAATGAAAATCCCTTAAAATGAAAAAAGCCATTAATTAATATTCCAACTGTCAGGGATTTTCTTGCGACCCAGAGAACTAAACATCAAAATTCACCCTTTCACAATTGTGTCCATTTTATGTTGTCACTGAAGAAAGAAAGAACGAACACAACAAAACGCATTCCATGCTTTTTCTCTTCGTCGTTTATATGTTCCATTCGTCGTTTTCCCCCAATTTCTAGGGTTCTTCCCTTTCCACCAAATCATCAAAAATGTTCAACAAGATCATAAAGCGCGCACACAGAAAATCAGGGAAAGTAACGTTCCCTGAAAATTCAACAAACGGCCACCAATTCTATGAAGTAGTTGTTAAACACGCATCACGTAGCTCATCTTTCGATTCCGCGCCACAAACCACGGCGGCGCCACCGCCTAATCAAGCCGTGATCGAATCACTTCCGCCACTCAAGGAAGTCGCCGTCTCAGAACGGTCCGCACTTTTTCTCAGAAAAATTCAACAGTGTTGTTCTATCTGTGATTTCTCAGACACTCTCAAGTTCATCGTGGAGAAAGAAATCAAACGAGAAACACTTTACGAGCTAGTTGATGTTATTCAATCCTCTTCGTTTCAATTTAGCGAATTTCAGGAGGAATTGATCGGTATGGTTTCTGTTAATATTTTCCGTTGTTTGCCGCCGGCGTCGCATGAAAACACAGGTACCGAAACTGTTGATCCAGAAGAAGATGATACGTATATGGATCCGTCTTGGGCTCATTTGCAGCTTGTTTATGAAATTCTAATGCGGTACATTGTTTCGCCGGAGATTGATATAAAAGTCGCGAAGCGGTATGTAGATCATGTGTTTGTTTTAAAGCTTATGGACTTGTTTGATTCGGAGGATCAACGAGAGCGCGAGTATTTGAAGACGATTCTTCATCGGATTTATGGGAAGTTTATGGTTCATAGGCCTTTTATAAGAAAAGCTATTAACAATATATTCTATCGATTTATATTTGAGACGCAGAGGCATAATGGTATCTGTGAATTGCTTGAGATTATGGCTAGTATTATAAATGGTTTTGCATTGCCTATGAAAGAGGAGCATAAACTTTTTTTGATTAGGGCTCTTATACCACTTCATAAACCTAAATGTGTTTCGGCTTATCATCAGAATTTGTCTTATTGTGTTGTTCAGTTTGTTGAAAAAGATGGAAGGTTGGCTGATCCTGTGATAAAGGGTTTGTTGAAGTATTGGCCTATTACTAATTGTCATAAGGAAGTTCTTTTTCTTACTGAATTAGAAGAGGTTCTTGAGTCAACTCAACCTCCTGAGTTTGTAAGATGTATGACTTCTCTTTTCAGACAGATTGCTCGATGCCTTAACAGCCCTCACTTTCAGGTCTGTTGTCACTGCCATATACAATTTTTCCTTACTACCTTAAACTTTGCATATGCAGCTTCAACTTTATGGGATATTCGTAGCTTTAGAGGGTTGTTTGCTTTCAATCAGATTACTTGTAAGTTGTAACTAGTACTCTAAATAGCCGGCTTAAAAAAAAGTAGTCTAAATAGTCATGTATTCTACTATATCCATCTTTTCAATTTTCGTAGGACAATATACTAGAAGAGGGTGCGTTTATATGGGTTGCTTGGGTGTTGGAATCATATAATTGCCTACTGCTTTTTCTTACGGAACTTTGGTCAGGAAACGTAGCTTGCATTTTGTCGTAGTAAGGGGAAAATAATCATATTTGGGATGTTCCTTTTATTGAGGCTGGAGTAGGTACTGATATATATATATATATTTTGGGGGCAGGAAAGTGGAATTTCATTTGATTTAGTTTTAAAAGATGATATTTTTAAACAAATATATTTGGCAGGGTATGCTTCCTTTTGAGTTTCATTACTGTAGACGGTAAATGACAAAACAGGTGGAAATAGTTACATGTTTATGGCATGAAGAGTGGTGGAGGGAAAAGGAGGCGGCAGATGAAGGATAGTAATACTAGTCTTAGTGGTATCTTTAGTAGAGGGAGGGGGAGAGAGCCCTACTAACCTGGTTAAGGAGTGTGTTCAGCTCTGTTGAGCATAGGAGTTTTTGATACTAAAGTTTGTTACATCTCTATATTTGAGGCCTATATGTGCCAACAATACTTGAGCAGTCCCAAAGAAAATACATTAGTACTATTGTTAATACTATTATTATCAATGTTTAGAAACTTGAGAGTTTACACAAAATCGGTAGAGGATTGAAAAATCGTAACTTGAGGATCGTAGCACGGATTGTAAGATCCCACTACTAGTAGAAAAATATATTTATATATGTATAATTACATACACATGCTCAAAAAGTGGAAGCTTGAATGGAAGAGGAAGAGAATTTATGCTGAAATAATACGTTCCTAGCGGTTGAGTTTATTGAAAGTGGAAGGATGCAATCACGAACCGTTTGCATAATATTGTTTCTCCTTTTTATTTAAAAGGAGTGACGATACATGTCTCTCTGAATTTCCATTAAAAAAAGTAATAATAAATAAGGATTTTAATATGGCCCGACCCGCATCCAGAACCGTTTTAGAAAATTAGGGTTTTTTTCTTCAAAAGACCACCAAAAACAGATGCGATGCATGTCTGAATCAAAATGAGTTCACCGAGTTTGCTACATACGATTTTAATTGAATTGCAGCACACCAGCATGCAATTGGAACGTTGGATTGGACGAGTTCACGAGTTGACTCACGATCCTGCATACAATGGTTATTATTATTTTCATTAAATTATTAATTCATGATGGTGATTATGAAAAACTACAATCATTTAAATTCTTTTTTTGTTCTGTTGTTCCTAGAGTCTAGGCCGAACTTTTTTAGCAAGTTAGCACATTGGTTCCAATGTTGAGGGCTTTCTTTTATTTATCTTATGGAATCTACTAAGCTATTAAGTGACTTATTTTGGGTTTAGTTGGCTTCTGTTTGTTGCTTCAGTTTTGCTGACTTATGTTGTATATAATTGTTTTCTGTATGTAAAATGATTGGGTACCTGGTTGTGATTGGAAGTGCCTTCGGAAACTGTGTTGGGTTTTGGGCCTTTTAAATTAGGACATTGGCCATGCGTGATGCTCATCAGATTTGACAAATGATTCTTTATTTTCTTTTGACTGCTCTCTCTGTCAATTGATGATTCTACAACAGGTTGCAGAACGAGCACTCTATTTGTGGAACAATGAGCACATTATAAGCTTAGTGGCTCAGAATCGAAGTGCTATATTGCCAATAATCTTCGATGCTTTGGAAAATAACATGAAAAGTCATTGGAACCGAGCAGTGCATGGACTAACAGCCAATGTGAGGAAAATGTTTCAGGAGATGGATGCCGAACTGTTTGAAGAGTGTCAAAAAAAGTATCTAGAGAAGGAAGCCCGGGCTACAGAAGAAGAAGAGAAGCGAGAGTTAACATGGAAGAAATTGGAAGCAGTAGCTGCACAGGCTGTTGTGAGGGATGAGATGGTTTTGGTTAACTAATGTGTTGGGTCGCAAGCAACTCTTCTTTCCACATAGCCGATTTCGCCAAAATTTCTTTCCAGGGCTGGATTACTGCAAAATGTAAGTACGAAATGAAGAAATCATAATTTTATTTTAGTTGCAGGCGTTACGAACAAGAGGACTACATTAAGGAGCTCGAGAATAATTTTTTTTGCTGAGCTAGGAACATAGAGGTGGCATTCAGCATACAAACAAAATAGAAAAGAACTAGTTCTTTCAGATTTTCTTTTTGGTTCTATCATTTTTAGTGGAACCAAAACTTACTACATTTTTTTACTTTACATTCTGTTTTGTTCTACTTTGAATATGCATAAAACATAGAACAGAACTCCTATGTTCTATTCTATACTATTCCATTATGTTTATCAAAGGCTATAGTGTTGCTTTTGATATATTCCTCCTTGTTTTTTGTTTCATTCCTTATATATATCCTCCAGAATCTTGTGTTAATTAATTGTGAATATAACCTTTCTATTTAACTTTGATAAAGTTGTCATTTAGCATTTAGGATAGTTTACAGTTGTTTGTCTGTGACTGTTATTCAACTCGTTCCACTTTGAGGTCTCAGCTGTCTGTGACCCAGCAAGCGAGATTGTATGGTTTTGTTTGTGTTGTATTTGTGTTCTATTCGCGGGACAGGGCCGTTTGGGACGGTTTCTTTTTTGTTTGGCCTTGTTGAAGCAATGTTACATTGAAAAATAAAACTTAGAAGCTGCTGCTATTCAATTCTACAGTTTGCTAAGGAGAAACCTACTGCATTTGTAAGGTTACATAATAGAAGATAACACCAAATAGGATGGGTTCATGAATGGTTCAATGGTTGTGGCAGTGTTGAGTGAGCAAGCAAGTATATTAATTCATGAAATTGCACAATAGTTTTACGAATTCTTTTTTTTATTTATTTATAAAAACTTAGTTCATTCTCCTTAGATTCAACATTTACTGTTTCACTTAGAAAAGATATTAAAAATTATATTATATAACTTGTGATAATATCTGTTCATATAAGGTATTTGTTTTTATGAGTAACATACTAACATGCCGACCATTATATTTAGCACCGGAGGTAAATATGTCTTCTTTTTTTTCTTTCGCATTGTTTATTGCACCTCATACATTACACAATCGCCCAAATACAAATAAAAAATAATTTTAAATATTGAAATTTAGATTTTAAATCCGGAGATTGAAATTTTAAATATTGAAATTTAGATTTTAAATCCGGAGATTGAAATCCAATCATTCTCATTTAAGTGTGCGTGAGCAATCTTCTCCATTCTATTTTATTTGAAACAGTTTCTCAACTTCTTTCAAAAATAAAACATAACTCATTCATTCTAATACAACATTTTTTCAACTTTGTTCTCAACTTTTATCCATCTATTCATTCAAACCAAACACTTCATCAACTTCTACTCCTTTTCATTCAATCTAAGCACATGTATCTCTCATATTTGACAATTTTCTCACATCCTTACTTTTTTTAATGATTTTTGTTGCATGCAACTCAATTAATAATTTAATAGACTATAGTTAAGCTATATTAGACCACATCTAATAGAAATGCAGTTCTACTTAGATTTGGTATGAATTTGGGTATGAATTTGGGACATCTGAGAGTTAGAATTGATGTTTGGATTTCAAATTCCTAGATTATGCTATCTGCGAATAATTCAGACCTTTAGTGTATATATAAAAATTTGAATTTCTCTGCTTGTTATTTTGTTTCTTAATTTTATTTGCTTATATATTGTTTCAACTTCTTTGATTATGATATATTCTTTTTTGTTTGATTATAAAAAATGGATAACGAACAATAATGATACATATATGGTGGTTTTCCCAATATTCTTTAGTACATCAGGAGAGAGCTAAACCGATCGGAGTTGTTGGAGAATCATCTTGTACTGTAGAAGGATCATTTTCATGTGGTTATGTTTCTCCATCTCATGATGATTCACCCATTGCTCATGTTCATGCTATTGTACATGTAGATGATCCACATCTTACAATTAGACCTAATGTTGTCGCACCTGATAGTTTTTCGAGAGGCTCTTGAAACATTTCACTACTTCGTCTATATGCACATCATACTACTAGGCACCTGTGGGAGAGAGGTAACATAAATGTTTATTTACTCTTTAAACATTTATTTTATGCTAATTGAATTGTGTGACATTAATGTATTTATTTTTGTAGCACCGTGACACGTTGATATGTATAAATCATGGTAGGAAGATAACAAAGCTTCCATAGGCAGATAAACTTTGGTTTCATGATGTATTGGAGCTTTATGGTATGAAGGAATTTTATAGGATAATATAGTTATATTGATTTATTATCTGCATTTGTTGAAAGATAGCACGTAGAGACGTCGTCATTTTATCTTCTGATCAGTGAGATGACTATCACCCTTGATGATGTATCATGCCTCCTACATCTTCCGATCACAGACAAATTATTGGATCATTATAGAATTAATACACTTGAGGCACTCGACCCGATGGTTACACAATTAGGAGTTGATCTAGATAAAGCCTAAAGTGAGATAAAAGATGCTAGAGGATGTCATGCTAGATTTTCATTCCTATTGAAAAATCATATTAACAACCTGAATGCAATTATGAATTATGCGGGTGATGGTGCACATATTACCTATCATGTAATTTATTTATACCCTTACTAATATTAACTTCATAATATGTGTGTTATACCTTACTGATATCTCATTTGAACCATTTTTAAGGCATGGATCCTCTAGTATTTTTCACGTATCGTCGACTGAGACTATGTTGAAAATTACACTGAGAATTTGCCATGTGTATGCTATATTATCCCACTCAGGGGTAATCCAACGACTGATTTGTCCCGACTTACTATTGATTATATCCTGTCAAATGATATCTATTTCATACCATACGTTGAACATTCTCAAACACGACCCTTGGAGGTGATATTCGAGTATTATGGATGACTAGCTTATGGACCTCGACTTATGTACCCACATCTACCTAATAGAGTATTGTAATCGTTCATGTCTTTGCAGAGTATGCATATGGACTCCACATTTGGTGCTCTTGCCACTGTCCTCTGTAGAGATATGGATGTGATATTTGCATACTACCATAAACATTTAGTGCAAAAGGATGTATGCAGTGTGCCGACTCCTTGTCCACGAAGTTCTGTATATAGTTACATCTAATGGTTTTATAGAGTCTTTCATACTTACATGACACCAGAGTCAAAAGGAGATCCCTCTAGGTCAACTCATTAGGGATTATTAAAGAAGAACATGTGACAACGAACCATACAGTGGATGAATTTCCTATATGTCACTGTATTTTTGTGCTTGGAAGAGATTTCATTGTTAGATGAGAGTTTTAAGAAGGAACTCTTTAAGGGATCACTTTGGATACAATATTACCAGAGACACAATTTTTACTACAGTATAAGAGGCAAATAAAGAACCAAATGGTTAGATATACCCATAGTTGTTTTTTAATTTGTATTTTGATGTAATTTTTTTTGAATGGTTGAGTTATGTATGACTAATGTTTGATTTAGGGTTGTGCTATGAAAATTTGTTCTTATGCATGATTTATGTATATGTTTATTGTGTGCTGAAACAACTAGTACATATGAAGAATATGTTATGAATGACTTATTGCATATATACATACTTAATAATCACCTCCATGTTCACAAACAAAAATATTCATTATGAGAATGCCATTCAAGTTCTCAACACCAGTGGTAAATAAATAACTCATAATAGTCCACAAATGTAGTACTGCTACCAGACATAAATAAAGTTCCCAAGTGTTTTATTATGGTTCATAATACTGTCTAGGGATTCATAATATTTTTCAGAGGTTTTCCTAGATATTAAAAATTAGATTCACCAATTTATTACAAAATACACACCCAGACAATGCTTACAATTTGCTCCAGGGGTTTGCTCGGAGATTGAAATAAGGACTCACCCCATAGCTAAGGCTAGAGGATCATAGGTCGAGGCTTCATGTTTATCCGTAGACGCACTTGGAAAATATGTCAACTTCGATTGAGATTGTATAGGTGTGATGGACTCATCAAACCTGCACTAACAATCAACTATGTCATGCCCATGTTTACCACAGAATTGGCATGTAGGTCTAGTTTAAGATGAGGATTGACTTTTACCACAAGTCATATGTCCTCTACCTCGACTGATTGTAACACTCTCACGCACGCCACTTGTTTGATGATTTTCATGTGCCATATTTGCAGTGACTGTTGATATAGCTAGTTCCTGTCATAAATTGTCAAACTGCACTTCCTGAACATAGAGGAGGGCTTCGACATAATAACGCGTTTGAGGCTCATAGGTACTATATATTTGCATGACAAACATGTTATACTCTTCTGGTAAACCATCAAGAATGAAACTTGTTTGATCTTACTCTGAAACAACATCTCCAATAGCTAGTAGAAAATTTACAATGCCCTTAACGCGAAGCACATACTAAGTTATAGTGCTATTACCTTTCTTGATTGATTTTAATTCAACACAAAGTTACTAAAGTAGTGCTTTCATATGAGCACTGAAATACTTGTTAATCTTGTCCCATACCTTAAAAGCATGCTTGCATGATAACACACGAGGCAACACATATTGAGAAATGGTTGAGAGAATCCGTATAAATATAGCCCGATCTTACACTATCCATGCCTCATATTCATACAAAAAATTTCCTTCAACACGATCTTGTTCAGACTTGAAATTTTATGGAATATGGGGGTTTACTGCTACCTTATGCACTCTTTGATCTAAGATGGTTCCCTCTACTTGTTGATTATATAACAGATAGTTATTGTCCTGCAATTTGATCAACGGTTTCAGTCTAAATAATGCGAGGAAGAAAAATCAAAAGTATTGACTGGAAAACTCCAGGAGTTCTAAACTAAGCTTCCAAGTAATGCAACATTAGCAATTTGAG